AGTTAATTACGATTAAACTTGATCGGCGTTGGTGAAACTGGTTCTTAATCTTTTCTTGTCTGATATATTTTGTAATGCATCATATAATTAATATAATTAACATAAAAATATAGGTACTAAATAATATTTCAAACAAATGTTTCGGTTTGCAAAGCCTTCTTCAGTGTTAAAACGCAGAAATACAATTAACAAACCAAATAAAATGCAATAACAAATGCAATAAAAATTTTAAAGAACCATCAGTGGTGAAATGTCATTATATAAAGAATTCAATTAATATAATTAACGTAAGAATAAAGATACTAAATGATGTTCTAAACAAATGTTTCGACTTACAAAGCCTTCTTCAATATTAAAACGCAGAAATACAATATTCAATTAACAAACCAAATAAATAACAAATACAATAAAAATTTTAAATAAATAATAATAAATAAAGAGCAAAGAGTCGACAAATTTCTTTAAAAATTACACGAAGAATATATTACAATTAACAAAAGGTAAAATTACATAAAGCAAAAATAAAATTACAAGTTTCGGCTACCGGATTGAGCCCTCTTCAGACATTAACATATCAAAAAAAACCACAGTACAAAAATGATTAACAGAAATGTTCGCATAATCATAGTTCAGGTGAGTCTTGATGTAGAACTCGACATTATTCGCATACGATTGAGCAGTCAAATGTGTTTCATATCTCTTGAAAAAGTTCAAAAAACAAGTGTAAATCATTCAAAAAAGCGTGTCCATACAAGAATAAAAAACCACCAGAATTTACAAAATTAGGTGGAATGCAGATGTGTAAGACGAACATTGTGTATCGCTTGTTATGTACGCTCGCTAATACGGATCACCACGGACTAAGATAAGAGATGGACTGTTAGTATCGAAACGGACTGACAGTATCGAAAAGTCAAACTTTATTTATAGTAGAAATATAAGTCTTGTGAAGACCTACAGTGTCAGTTTGTAAATTTAGACTATTTTTCTGCTTTTTGATATTGAGCATCTCGGAAATTAAACGTTTTCTGTAGCAAGGCTCTTCGTCTAAAATTTTGACTTTATCCCATTGGAAATCGTGATCATCTGTCGCCTGTGCTCCGTTATGACAGAACGGACAGAAGTATTGTATCTAATGATTGCGATGTTCTGTAATCCTGGTTTTTAATTGTCTGCCCGTCTGTCCAACGTATGACGCATCGCAATTATTACACGATATCTTGTAGACTACATTGCTCTTCGATGTATGTGGACAAATATTCTTCTGTACTTTTATATATTTGCCTAATTTATTGGGACTATGGAAAAATACCCTGATGTCGTTTTTATTGAAACGTTTAAACTTTTCCGTGTGAAAAGGAATAAATGATACCGTAAGCCAAGAAGCAGATTTGTTCGCACAGACATTGTCAGCCAAATCTTCCTGTGTTATGTGTCTATTTTTAATTAAATTTTTTATACGTTGATTAACTGTGTCAAAAATAAAAGCCAATGGATAGTCATTGTCTAATAAAATGTTAATAATGAATGTCAAATTCTGTGTATGAAATCTAAAATCCGATAATAAAAAAGCTCTATCAATTAGTGAAAAAATTGTCCCTTTTTTTGTGCCATGGGATGATTAGAATTGAAATTCAAAAACCTCCCTGAAAAGGTCGGCTTACCAATCAAAAATAAAACTGTTCCCATTAATAGATATAGTGACATCCAGAAAATTGATTTCATCTCCCGCTATTTCTGAAGTAAACTGAAGACGTGAATGAAATAAATTAAATTGTTCTAGTAAATCGTCAATTTTAGAGGGAGCAACCGCGGTACAAATGTCATCTACGTATCTGTAATAAAATACCATATCCAAATCCAGCGACATCAAGGACATCTTCTCTAGCCTCCTCATTACTAAGTCCGCTATTACAGGTGATAGAGGAGAGCCCACGAAGCCGAAGCTTTGCTTATACATTTTATTATCAAACGAAAAAAAGTGGAATTAACTTTATCGCTTCCAAAAACTCATATCGAGAAACAGAGCAATCCCTGGAAATCCCACTATTTATTAACACAATCGACCATTATTTCCATTGGAACATTCGTAAAAAGAGATGTAACATCTAATGAAATTAATTTATGTTTATCTGTAATGTGTAATCTTTTTAGTTTTTCAACTAATTCAAAGCTATTTTTAATGTAACTATTCACTTTAGGAATGATTTTGAATAGTATGTTATGTAAATATGTACCATATTGTAGCCAATGGATACAGCGGACTGCCTATCGAAGAAACGATGACTCTTAAAGGACTCTTAAAGGACTATCAGGTTTATGAATCTTCGACAATCCATAGACTCTCGGAAGTGATCCATCACTACAATATAACGCTCTGTACTTAGTGTCACTAATATAATCCTTCGTTTTCCATCTGGTGAGCATGGACCTTAAAGCCGTCGTGAGTTTCTTAGGATCTTTTTTGGTCGGAACATACGTGTCTACGTCGCTCAATAAAGTGGTCATTTTGTACAAGTATGCGTTTTTGTCCATAGCGTGATGTTGCCTTTATCAGTGAGCGTAAAAATAATATTAGGATGCGCCGATACAAAAATACGTGTATCAGACTCCATTTTCAGTAATTGTTTGTCCATCGGTGATGTGAAAATCGGAGAAGAGATGATTTTATTCAAAATTGGAATCGACTGGTTCGTAACAGTAATTTTCTAATCTGGGCATTCTTTGCGTACTACTCTCAACGTTCTTCATACAATCGAAGATTATCTTGTTCTTGTTGCTAAACGGAAGCGCGAAATTTTCTCCCAACTGCAAAAAACATTGTTAACTGGAATGTCAAAAGAAGATAAGTTTAAAAACCATCTGTCTCTGACTATGGGCAAGTAAGATGACCTATGGCAAGGGAAGGCATTAAAAATTTAAAAACACCATCAGTGATGAAATGTCATTATATAAAGAATTCAAACGTCAAAAAGTATTATAACAGATCACAATAAGATAAGAAGATTAGGTGCTTCAGTCGACAATAGATTATATTATGTTCCTCGATAAAATAATTTGGCTAAATTCCTCAGTTGAAATCGAGAATCCAGTTTGTCGCAGACTTGTATCAAACAATTTGAAAATTCATTAGTTACGAGTATTTTATGATATTCTGTAGAACGAGTAGATATATTAAATTAATATATTATTAATATGAAGAAGAGGTACAGAATCAAATAATAATTTACTAATCAATTTATATAAAATACTGTAATTAAAACTTTCAATCAGATATCTAATTAAGTACATTCAATTATTATTCGATTCTGTATCTCTTATTCACACTAATAATATATTATTTTAATACATCTACTTGTTCTACAGAATATCATAAAATACTCATAACTAATGAATTCTCAAATCGCTTGATATTAGTTTGCGATAAACTGAATGTTTGATTTCAACCGAGAAATTGACAAAATTATAATATTTTATTTAGAAACATAGTGGAATCTACTGTTGACTGAAGTATTTAATCTTCTTATCTTATTGTAATCTGTCATAATACTTTTTGACCTTTGAATTCTTTATATATACTGACACTTCATCACTGGTTTTTTAAAAATTTTTTTGTATTTGTTATTTAGTTAGTTTGTTAATTTAATATTGTATTTCTGCGTTTTAACACTAAAGAAAGCTTTGTAAGCCGTTTGTTTAGAATATTATTTAGTATTTATATTCTTATGTTAATTATATTAATTTAAAGTTTTCTTAATTATAAGCTCGAAATAAGTCACAACATTGTTTAATTTAATAAAAAATTTTACAAACAAATTTTTGAAACACGTATAGGCTCACCATTGTTCCCCATTATTGCGACTACGATTTTAGAAGATCTGGAAGAGATAGCAAATCAACATTTATTGTGTAATTTAAAGTTCTATTTTAGATATGTACATGACATTTTGTTAGCTGCGCCGGAAGAATTTTTGGATGCATTTTCGAATACTTTTATTTCTTTACAAGAGCGGTTACAGTTATTCACAATAAATTGAAATTGGTGATGTAACAGATTCAGCTTTCTGGACGTTGTGGTTATGGTAGAAAATAATAGAATTATATTCGATCGATACAAGAAACCAACTTGTTTAAAGAGATTTTTAAATTTTAATTTTCACCACAAAAGGGACGTTACTTATGGTATGATAAAAGTTGCTTTTATATCATCCGATGTTTTATTAGAAAAATTTAATAGAGGTGATTCAGATTTTACTCAAGAATTGTTATCCTTTCAAATTTATATTTTTAAGCATATAGATAAGAATCAAATTTTTTTGCAATAATAATGTTAACCTTACCATACAAAGAAATTAAATCAAGGTTAATGATTGGTATTTTACAGTATCTTATATAAAAACTATCTCCGAATTTTTTATTTCCATTGCAGCTGATATAAATAAAAAAAAGGCATTTACCGTCCCACAAACACATTACAAAAATATATCACTCATGATAAAGATGTTTTGGATTATATGTCCCATCAAGAAGTAGTGTATAAGATTTCTTGCCAAGACTGTGATATGTTGGCTAAACAAAACAGCATTTAAAAACTAAAACACATGAACATGCAAGTAACATTAACAAAAGAATTGGTTTCCCATCGGTAATTCCCAGCCATCGTTTCAGGATCACAATTTCAAATGTACAATGTAAAAATTCTAGATAGTGAACCTATAATAAAAGACTGATCTCAGAGATAGTATACATTAAAAAACATCATGGATTAAACAAGCAGAGTGACATGGAAATTCTTTATAATTCTTATCTTCCGATCTTACAATTATTATTCCCTTCCTAATTATTTCCCCTTCCTAAATTTTTACTACCTCACGTTTTTCGCCTTTCAATTTATCTCTTTTAGAATTCTTTATTATTTCTGTCGTCATTATTTGTTTTGTCTTTCAAATATAATGATCTTTATCTGGTGACAATGGACTTATTACAATATTAATATCATTATGGTAAACCGATTGCAATTGAAAGACGATGGACTTTTTATTGGTTTTTATATGACGAAAGGTACGACTGAATTTGATTTCATGAGATGAATTTTATCTATTATACAATACTTAAAGTTACAACTAATGCCAGTTAACCCGTGTAAGTCGATATTACATTGGGAATTTTGTTATGCAATTGCAATGGGGTGCGCTTAGATCACTTTAACTTTTGTATATTATCTGGATAATCTAGATCTCAGAGTAATTATGGAGAGAAATTTGTAGAGAGAAATTATTTTTTAAGATTTAACATTTCCATAAAATTTCCGTTCACCATACTGATTAAATCATTTCGAATTTTTAAATTTTAATCCAAATATAGTATCAACGACTCTGAAATTTAACTATTGCATAATCTATTGCAAGCTCATTTTTTGCGCACATTAACTGTGTTTGTTTTTTAGAAATATTAAATAAAGTTTTTTAATTGCACTGATATACTTTCCGTTTTATCATCGATTTTTCGCGGTATTTCATATTAGAAGCATAATTTTTGGATTTTACGATTTGCTCACTTTTTACATTTTTTTAATTTTCAAAAAAAAAATTTAAATTAAATTTTATATAACATTATCTTACAGCTTATTAAATTTCTTTCCAAATAACCTATTATTTTTTTTAATTCTGTCTATAGACTTTTAGCATTTACCCAAAATGAACTCGGTATCTCATAATAAGGGCCTTTCCTCTATACACATTCCAACTATAATGCCAGCAATTCTTTAAATAATTCCGATGTCATTCTGAAGTAATTGAAGAACTTCTCACGATCGGTCGTTTGCATTTCAAGGACTAAATTGTCACTTGTGCCTTGGAGACACCTCATTCTTTGTATAAACATTGACTGTATTCAGAATTTTTGTTTTTTTGTATATTTCTGCTGTTGCAATAAAACGTTATAAACGGAATAAAATTGTCGCACATTCTTAAATATTGAAATAGCACGCCAACTTAGCATATTTCTTGCCTTTCGCAATAATTTTAACATTAATAATAAACTACTTCTTTATCCATCGTTGTAGATTTACAAAAAAAGTTTCTGAATATTCGTTTCAATTTTTAGATTCAACCAACTCAGCTGAACATGCCATTCCGTCCCGTAAAAATTTGTTCTATCCGTTTCATGTAACCGGAACGCAATGCAATTTTAGTAACAAAGTATATTTCACTTTTATAATTCAGTATTTTTGGATATTCAAAGTGGTATAGGTAAGATAATTGCATAAATTATGGATATTGATGCTTTAAAATTACAAAATATCGATAAAATCAAGCAAATTAACTTTAGTCGGCGCGAACAAAACGACATTCCATTCCATTCCGTTCCGGCTACATGGACGGGTAAAGAAACTTCTTACGGAACGAAATTGTAGTGATCTCAAATTTTTTAATAAAAAATCTGTTTCGTCGTTCCAATTTTGTGTACATTGGACGGCATCCTAAAAAGCGCGCAGAAAATATAACTGGTAACCGATGGCCGAGAACTCTCGGTGGAGGCGGAGAAAACTCTATCCCTGGCTACTGTCGGTTACCGTAAACAAGGAGAAGATGCTTGCATCAGACGATAGAAAATCGCTCGACGGAGACAGAAAACGCTCTATCCTTTTGCTATAATAGTGTGGTATTAGGAAGCTGCGACGGCTGACCAACGGCCGAGAAAACTCAGACAGGAATAGAGTACACTCTGGCCCCGGAGAGTATCCCGTCGGTGCAAGAACTGGCAGCTGGTTGGCGGCCGAGTACGCTCGGTAGGACAAAGTTTCCTCTGTTCTGGGATTACTCCATCGGTGCAGCGACTAGATACAAGGAAACCAGTCAGTCGCTATTGAGAACTCTTGATGGTGACAGAGCACTCTCCATCATCTTGTTTCGCGACGGATACGGTTACCAGGAGTTAGATTGGAACGGAATAGAATCGTGACAGGAGCGGAAGATAATCGCAAGCGCGAGCAACAATTTTTCGACTTACGAATTATTACTCCCGCTCGTATTGTTCCGATCTTACTCAGCGATCTTCGCCAACCGGCAATACGAGCGGGAACAATACAGATCGGCGGCACTCGGCGGAGTGTAACTCCGATGGAGCGACTATCACCTGTAAATTGTGTGCAGTACACGAGCTGGCGTTGCAACCTGATAACGATATGCATATTGTTACAAACTATTATCATTTCCGTCTGCCATATTGGATCAGACATTTTTCATTTTCAAATTCTAAGTTCATTTGGAATCAGTAGCTCTATAAATCCTTTAATATTAGAGTTTCTATAAGCGAGTCACGTCAATCTTGTAAAAATTTTTATTAGTTTTGAAGTAAAATGGCGGAATTAATTATCAATGTCATCGTATCCCCACTTTGAGATCGTGAACGCGGTGATCTGCGTAGAGACTCTAGACTTTAGATTCTACGTAATAGAGTCTAGAATCCCTCTCTAATCTTTTTTAGATGTTATTTTACTTCTCTATTTAATATTATATTTCTCTATTTAACTCTATTTAATATTACATTTCGCAAAAATTGGAAATCTTTTAGCATTTTCATTTGCCATATTGTTTCAGCCATTTCGAATTTTCAAATTTTAAATCCAAATTCAGAACCAAAAATTCTAAAAACCCTTTAATGTTACAAGTTTCTGTTCACAGAAATCGAAGAACTTTTAGCACCAAACATTTTTCATTTTTAAATTCTGAGTTTATTTAGATTTAACGACACTAAAAATCTTTTATATATATATATACACTGATTATATAAAAGTTATGCGTTTCGCGGGTTTCCTCCGTGTCCAAATCCATTGGAATGTCAAATTGAATGTGCTTGGTTTGCATGAAATGTTGAACCCGCGAAACGCATAACTTTTATGTAAAAAGCACCCGTGGAAGCCTCAAGAATATTAACATATACTGATTATTGCGAAAAATATTACTAAGGCTTCCGTAATCTAAAGGCTTAGAACGCTCGTACGAAGTCACAAGAGATTCGTGTTTGACTCTCGACCGAACTGTTTTTCAGCATATTACGTAACATCTTATTAATATGATGCCTGATTGAGTATCAAATTATTAAAAAATGCTTGTCAATTTTATTCGTAAGAATTACTAGTTATGGATTCTCAAAATTAAAATAATGTATGAAATTAGGCAAATGAGAGTTTGGTGCGTTATTTATGCACAATTATTGATTATACTCGTATGTATATATAAATTGTATTTCACTTGATGCATACTAGAACGTTTCGACCACCTCTTAGGATCATTCTCAGCGAGATCAACGAAGAAAAACTAAATTTCCTGCATATCAGATTCTACTCAGCTGCGTATTTCCAAATTTTTTAGCAAGGTCCGGAACCAGTGATAATTACAATGAAAAGAAAAACAGATGCTTGTAATTTGTTAAGAATTAATATTTTAAATATTATCAGCTAAAATTGTGAAGACTCATCTGAAAAACAGGAGCGTAAATTTATAGTTTTATTTAAAAATTAAAACAAGTTTCTATGTCAATTTTGCAAATTTTTATGAGATACAATTATAGCTGTGATATGTATCAGCGTCAGAGTCGTTACGATTTAAAAATTATTTGCGAGAATACGAAGGTGAAATGTTAATAAATAAATATCACTATTATATATAATGTACAAACAAAATATTACTAGAAGCGGTAAAAAGTTACTAACGTATGAGATTTAAAATTTATTTAGAATGTCCACATCGCATGATAAGACATTCCGTGTCTGATTGTATATTTATGCTATTTTCTTACAGTTTGATGAATAATATTCGGATATTAAGCGTTTATTTAAATATTCTTCGATATCTAGGATTTTTACATTTGTCCAATCAAATTCGTGATTGTGATGTAATCTGTAATTACTGATTAGACAGTAATGTTTTTTTTTTGTGATTTCTATATTCTAAAATTCTGGTTTTAAGTTTTCTCCCGATTGTCCTACATAAATTGCGTCGCAATCATTCATTACATGAAATTTGATACACTACATTTTTCTTTGATTTAATTGGAAGCACGTCTTTGTGAACTTTAATAAATTTACTCATTCTGTTGAGACTATAAAAAGCTACTTTACATTTAAATCTTTCGTTATAATTTTAAATTTTTCCGATATGTCCTGAACATATAAAATCTAAGGAATGTTTTCCGTATTATCATTTTTGTCATTATTTTGTTTTAAAGTTTGTTTATAACAAAAAGATTTTATAATTGCGCATTTATATTATCAAAAATAAAATATAATGAGTAGTCATTTTTGTGTAATGTTTCAACGATAAAAATTATATTCTTGTTGTGAAATCTCGAATATGACAAAAAAAAAGACTCTATCAATCATTCCAATGACATCATCTCTTTTCTGTAAAATAGGATGTGAAGACATAAAATTTAAGTATTTTCCTGAAAAAGTTGGTTTATGAAACAAATCAAATTCCAGGATGTCGTCATTATTAATAATTGTAACGTTCAAAAAGTTTAAAATGTTTCCGTTAATCTCTGCTGTGAAGTCTTGAATGAAATAAATTAAATATGTTAAGTATTTCAGTAGTTATATTAGAAGAAGTACAATTTATATATACATATAATCAATAATTGTGCATACACCGCACCAAACTCTCATTTACCTAATTTCCTGTATTATTCTAATTCGTGATATTACTACAATAATTTAATTGCATTTATAAGTCCGGAAAAGCTATTCGTGCAGTTCGAATGACTATGAATATATATGCTAGGACTTATATAGTATATAATATATATAGTAATTCAGATTAAATTATTTAAGCATTGAAGATCTTTGACCGTTATGGACATTACTTCTTTTTCTTATTGTTGATATTTATGCAATGTAAAGGGATGTAGCACAATAAAGTATACATTTAATACAATTGAAGTTTAGACATTATCAACAGTAAAATATATTTTTGTGTTTGCAGAATCCTGGCAGTTAATTATTAAACGCATCAACATACCACCTACTGTAAAACTTAACGGTACCGATTACATTATCCTTGATTGTGACTACGACTTAGAAAATACATCCAGCACGGGTCTTGTCGTCAAATGGTTTTTTAATACCAATCAAGTGATCTACCAATGGATTTATGGCAGATATCCTTTGGCGGACGAGCCTGCTGCAAAGTACGTCGATCTAACATATAAAGCCAGTAATGATCCATATACTGAATACCGAGCCGTAAAATTGAATAAACCAGGTGTCGATCTTACCGGCGTATATACATGTGTTATATCTACCTATGCAGATGAACGAACGGCAAATGCATCAATGATAGTATATTGTAAGTATCAATGTGTTTTTACATTTTTATATATAATCTTGAACACTAGCCTTTTCTATTCCATTCTATTAAGTTTGTTTGTTTAATTTTCTGATCCACTGTATAAGACTACAATACTATGCGAGCAAAGCTAAGCTAAGGTTCTAGATCACTATGTATTAGCACATATACGTATATGCGGTATGCGTGTGTGCATGCGCGTTTACGTATGTGCTTGCGTACGTATGTGAGTGGTCAGGGAGGAGGTAGTGCATCATAGAAGGGCAAGGGAGGAAAAAACGCATTACCGGAATCCGTGGTAGAGAGAGAAGAGAGTTTCGTTCCTTAATTCTCTCACCCGTTACAATCTTTTTATACTTACCATCTTATTTGCGCTCTCTCTCTAATTCTCTTTTCTTCTCGCTCGCAATTTTATTAAATACATACAGCATTTGTATTATGATCTTTTAAGTGATATGACTTAGCAATAATTTTAATTTAGCAACTAATAATAATATTTGTTTTAAAACATATCCTCCAAGTAGCCGAGCGTTCCTGTTATCCATTATTAAACTACTGTATTATTAAGTCGTTATCAAACACTTATCGAACTCGTACGAATGTACGTCGTATCGAACTTATCATACTACTACTAAATAACTATTATTATTGTTCAATTTTTAATTACAAGAAAAGTGGGAACGAAATTAAAACCTATTAAAAAAGAGTCTCATACCTTATTTTTTAAACTTAATACAATTCTTTTTGACCACTAGTTGTATATTTTAAATAAACTCTGTATTCCACAATTTTTAACATGTTTTTCACATTGCGTAATATTAGTAATATCTAGATTATGTAAAGAATCTATATCTTCGTAATCAGCATCTAGGATCTCAATGGTCAAGTCGTCGCTATCGAGTATGTCAGCCAGCTATTCGTGTTTTTAGAATCCTTTAACGTATAAGAGAACCTTATTGTCGACATTATCTTCCGCACCAATTATTGAAATCAGGCGTTTCACCATGCTGTACGAAATTATCCCATCTTTTTATCACAATCGATGATGATAAACACTCCACCAGCAACCACAATACTTTTTAGATTTTGTCAAGAAATTCCATGGTAGAAAACATGTAAAAATGTAATAAAATAAAATGGCTCCTTTCTTTAACACTATCACTTTCTTCATGGTAAATTTTTTTTCAACGACAAATTCTTGCAGACCCACAAACGTTAATACGGTGATGGCGAATGATTTTTTGAGACTGTACTCGATCGTAAAAAATCTTTATCTTTTATATTGAAAAGAGGGGGGAGAGCTTTTGACAACATAATTTACGTTTCTTGCACATATTAGACAATGGGTTGTATTCGATCATGGTCGTGTATAATGAGACAATATACAATAGTATTTACGGGTACACTCTCTCCGAAAAATTCAAATTCTAATCAGACACTCACTGCTGTTCTTGATAGATACATTTTGTCACGAACAGTCAATGATTACAATAATATAACCATGCAAAATGCTGTTTATCTTGAATAACGATTTACTTCTTTCGCGGGGGATTTGATAGTAAAATGTAAAACGTACAAACATTGTCATTCTAAACAGCAGCTCTACGTTTGTGAAAGTCTCGATAATCGTACAGATAAAATTTATAATTTAGATAAAGTTTATATTGGTTAATTTACAGTGGTCGAAGAAAGTTTCACATGTTCTCATGATATTTTTTTAATCAATTTGCAGAGCAAAGATAACATATCGTGTTTTTTTTAGCTGAGCTGTAGCCCAAAAGTGTTTTGTCATGCTTAACAATAGTGAACATTAGTACAAATCCCATGAACCTCATACTTAGATATCGTTTGCCTTCTAAGCATAGATAATTTATTGATTTTGTTCAATTTAACGTGAGGCATTCGCCCCTGTATTTCAAATAATTTAAGCGTCGGCTCTGTCGAGATTTCTCACAAGGCATTATTGTTGAGTGCTCAAGTGCATCGTTGAGTGTTCGTATTAAAATCAATTCGAGACGAGCTTAAGTACTACAAATTTCTCGCAAAAGCCCAACAAAAAGCTGAGCCGCACTTGAAAGTATCCGTCACCTGTCATTACACTTTTCGCGGTATCATCATTCTCGATCAATCCAGCATTCTCTATACGAAATGTGAAGTCAGTTGAATAATACTGTTTATAATAATAATAAATTTTATAATAATGGTTATTCCAACGTTTTCATTACGATAAATTTTTGTTGAGTTTAAATCAAATCTTGTCAAACATGAACGCCACACAGTTACATTCAAGCTTAGCTGTCTCTCTCTATATTCTTCCTCTTCAATCTTCTTTCGACGTAAAGAACGCTTTTAAACGGCAGTATATACAAATTCTGCTGATGTACGGGTATCCGTATCTTATCACCATGTCCAAATGTCGTGTTGACATACGAATTGTACGTGTGAAATTCAAATTTGACGATGCGATCGTCAAAGATCGGCTCGTCTCTAATATTCAAAATATTATATTAGTCATCTCAAAAGTTGCGCACCGCGAATCTCAAAGATATAAAAAATTTTAACACGCTGAACTTCTTCCTGAGGAGCAAATATTATCGAGCGTCACCGATCTTGTAAAAAGTAATCTCTCTGTGTGCGCTCCGCTCCATTTAATACGAGCATTACACGCTTACGTTATCGTTATCATTATGTCGTCATCGTACGTGCAATCTGATAGTGATCTCTTCTTCTTGAAAATCGAGCAATCGTCTGTTTGATGATACATATCGTTAGATTTGTAATTCTCTGTACGATGACTGGCAGGTAAATGATCGGTTGTGCCGGTCTTTCCCGCTATCTAATATCATGGCAGCACGCTTGGCGAAAATTCGTATATCGTGTGCACACTTTTGCCATTACTGTACGCGTCTGCGGCGCGTGTTACGTTACACTCTACGCGAATAACGTTTATGTTCATTATATTAATTGACACGTCCAATTTGTGCCATTTTCGCGACATCAGTACACGATTCGACGACAATCCCAGCAGCAAGTCAATGTCGTTAGGCTTGCCAAAGTTTATTCTGTAGACGCATCTAATCTCACACCTCATCATGTTGTAGTTTACGCAAAGCATTATCAGGTATTCTCTGTTCTCATCGTTGTCGGCGTTGTCACCAGCATCGAACGCGTTGCGTCATTTTCGTAAAATGGTACATTTCAAAAATTCATTTATAATCTGCAGCTTGTACGATCCGTTCCTCGAAAATTGTAATTTCTACGTCGAAATAATATTTGTTGTTCGAATCGTTTTCTGTATCGTGCAATCAGTCTCAAAGGTTGTCAGACCGAGCTCGTAGTCATCGTCACTCAAATCTATGGCAGGAAAATAATTCACCGCGAAGACGCTGTTCTTTCCGCTCAGCGTAAGCGTCAACAATATAACGAAAAAAGTGTTCGACGAATATTGAGATTTCGCGGCACCTTGTTGGCTTTTTAAATTTACGCTATTTTTATATTTATTCCAATCTTGGTCTTGGCTTTCATCGTGGCAGCGGCGCCTTTCTCGCTCAGAACTGAATCTCTAGTGATGACGCGTCCTAGCGCTTTATCGGCGAGTTGTCCGCCGCATGTTCATTGGTAAAATGGCTGTTCTGATAATACATAATGTCGTGTTCGCCGCATCCAATGGATTTATGCCAAATCACCTCTGGCTAATTGTTTCTTTAGCTGAGTGTCCGGGCCGCAAAATTCGGAATATAACTCGAAAGAAAGCGCGTTTATCACTTGATTCAGCAGATCGCTACGCGACGTTTACAGTCCTTTATTTTTAGTGCGTCCGTTGCCACGGTTAATTGTAATACTCATCGCAGCAACAATAGATTTGAACCTTCGAATTTGTCTTCACGTGTTGCGGAAGCTTATCTTACACGTGGTCGACATAGTCACCATACACGCGTAACAGTACGACCTTTGATATATGCTGCAACTGCTCGGCATTGAGATCCTAAATGTCGAAAACATGGCACAACGCGAGGTACGTTTTACTACTATGCGACTTGCGGGTTTATGCTCCAGGTAAGATTTGCCGACTCTTGCTCGATGTTGAACATTGGGCCGATGTTGGCGATATCATGGCAAACTAACATTAATCGAACACGGCGCGACATCGACCCAGGCTATGTTAGCCGATTTTTTCTCTATGAATACTCTCGGTCATTGTCAATGTTGGCAATATGTTGACAACTGATTGTTATGCCAATCACGGCGAAACATTGACACAACCTAGGTCAGCCGATTCTTATCTAAAGACAACTTTAAACTATCATCGGGCCAATGTTAATAACGACAGTATGTCGGCAACCGATTGTCCCTTCAATCACGGCGCAACGTCGGCTTATGCAATGTTAGACTATTGAGCCAAGAGTCGTCATCTAGTAAGAATCGTCTAACATTACATGCGTCAATGTCGTGCTATGATTGGAGGAGCAATTGTTTACCAACATAATGCCAACGGCTTTTTTTGTTATTTTTTTATTTGCGAGAAGAAAAAAAATCTTTACAAAGCCTATCATTCGGGATGCTCCCAAAAGGAGAACTTAACCGGATGATGGAACGACGCCCGGTCCCCTGGGTATGCGGGATTCGATGGGTCCGCGTCCTCTCCATAAGGAAGGACAGTGGATACCTCGCTAAAAAAAACTCTATAAAGCAGCATTATCTTAAGACTAATTGAGTGTACTCCGGAAACGTCTACTCGGCATTTCATCAGGGTGCACCCAAGCCACGGAGCATAAGCTCCCATCATCCAATATCTAGTATACTACACGAAGTGTATGGACGAAATCCATACCTAATACTAAATATACGTCGCTATTTACACTACATACAAATCTCACATCTCAGTTATTAGATCCCGAGGAGACAGAGGCGAGAATCGCCCACCGTCTCTCTAGAGCCTGACACTCACGCTCCGCCCGCTGCTTCTTCCTCATCACAGCTTCACATAAGTCCGCAAGGAC